ACGTTAAGGAGAGATCCTGTCAGGGCTTGCTGGCAAAAGATTGATTCCGATTTTCCCCTCCCCTCCGCAGACGATGCCATGTGGATGTCTCATCAAGGCCCTGCTACAAAGCTTCCCTTAAAAACAGAAAATAGGAGACAATCAGGTCTTTGTGTCAGTGCCCCGACGGCTGGGAAGAGCCCTGTAAGAACAAAGTCACAGCAGAGAGCTGGGGATGCATTTGGTAAACAGATTTGAAAGGGTTACTTCCCCCAAGAAGGCTTCTTTTTTTTTTTCCCCCTCTTTCAGAAGGACATCCCCGCTACGTCCCACTGCTCCATTCTACCACAAGCCTCTGTCCAAATGATAGACGGAGCCCCGAAAGGGAGCTCATCCTGCCAAAACACCCCCGGGCAGGGGCATGGCTGGGGGCTGGCGCATCTCCCCAGTCCCACCAGTGCCCCCTGCACCCTCCCGGCTCCATCCTCCCCTCTGGACTAAAACATCCTTTAGCGCTGGGCTGTTTTGCACAAAGCAAGGGCCTCGGATGAGGGGTTTAACTCCAGCGCTGACCTAATGGGAAGCCACCGGCGGACGCCTGTTTACCCAGCACATACCTCAGCCAGGCAGGGCTCTTTATCTCCGAGGCACGGAGCACTAAGCAGCAGGACCCTGCCAGGGACAGGTACGTGGGGCAGAGCCACTTCGCTGGCAAAACTATACGGACGTGGAGCTACAAAAAAGTCCCTCTCCTCCTCCCTAAAGCTCGGTCAAAAGGGGAAGAGAAACCCCGGCGTAGCAAACTTCTCAAAATCGCCCCCACCCCGGCTTGCCGCAAAGCCTCCGCACGAAGGGGCCTTGTGCAGGACGTCCCCTCCCCAAGCAGGCCAGCGCTGGGGTGACGTTCGGCTGACGACCCCACCGAGGTGTCCGAGTGTTGCAACACTCACCTTTGCACTGCTACACCCACGGAAGGGCACCCAAAAACCTCTTTCCTTCATCCCAGAGGCAGTCCTGCTGCCCACTCGCGTGGGGAGCGGTGGCACCCAAACCCACGCGCAGGTTTTTGGGGCAATGCCAGCCGAGGAAATCCCCTCCCCGGCTCTGCGGCCGCCTTCCCCTCGCAGCAGAGCCGGCTGCAAGGCCTGTTTGCTCACATACCAGCCCATTACGGTCACAGACCTTCTCATGTCTCTGCCACCGGGGCTAATTCACAGCCCATCTAACACTGAGGAGGAGGAGGAGGCAGCCTGCAAACGACCTAATTAATACAAACACAGGCTGAGTTACCTTTGCACAGAGCGCCGGGCCCTGCCTCAGGCCCAGGAGCAAAAATCTGATTTTTAAAGACCTTTTCAGGTGTCATTTTCTCCGGGAGGATCCTTCCCCTCCCCTCTTTGCAGAAAGGAACGCAAGAAGCGGAAATCTCATCAGCGACTCGCCCCCAGCCCTCACGAGGGGCTGAAAGCCACAGCCCGGA